CTTAAAGACATATACCCTGCATTTCAGAAAGATCGTAATGTTTTGATATCAAGGTCCAACCTAATTGAGGTTATAACAGGTAATAGCCTACATTTCAGCACACCCTGGACCAATGTTGACTACATGTTCATGCCAATCCTTCCTGCCATCAAAGCACACCGGATGCTTTGTATGCTAAAATTCAAAACCCATACCATGATGTTGTTCAATTTTTGCTGGTTAGAGCTACAGTGATTGGAAGATTCTACAAGGAATTTGGCTATACTTGAAAATTTTGCTTGCTCTAATGAATGCTTTGGAAATGTCGAAAAAGAACCTTGATTATCATGAATCCCAACTGCACGTACAGTCACATATACAGAGAGTAGGTCATAGAACTAAAGTATATAATTGTCCAACTAATTTCAGTTTCAGCTTTTCCGCACAATAACATGTGATGAGAAACATCAATTCGTGATGAGAGCATTCAATTTGTGACCAAAATATTTCGAATGGTTACCTAGAATATCTTATCCCATGCTGATCAAAGTTTCTGTGGCATGTAAATTAGAGCTTCTGCTGAAATCGTGGTGAGAAAAATATTGTCTTGACTAGAGCATTCAATTTGTGAGAAAAATATTTGAAGCGTTTACCTGAAATATATTCTCCGGCGTTCATCAGATCTTATGTGGCCTGCATTGAGTTTTTCTGTTGAACCCGTGACAAGAAAAATCAATTTCTGATTATAGCATTCAATTCGTGACTACAATATTATAAGTTGTTACCTGAAATCTCTTCTCCTGCTTCGATCAAATTTTTTGTAGCCTGCTATTTGGATTTGTTGAAGAACCTATAATATATTTAGATCATAGATAAAACAAAAATTGTAACCGGAATTTTCAATTGTAACTTGAACAATCAATTCGTGGTCAAAATAATCAGATTATTATCTGGATTGTCTTCTCCGATGACGAGAATTTATAATTTGTTAGCTAAACTGTTCGATTATTTTCAATATATCAAATTGATTTCGAAAATTTGTGATGAGAAATAACAGTTTGTGATTAAAACGTTCAATTTGGGATCAAAATCAATCGAAACGCTTACCTACTTTGTCTTCTTCGACGATTGAAAGAGGTTCCGTGTCGTGGAAATTTGAATCCTAGTTAATCTGTAATTTGGGGATGTGAATTTGTATTGTACGGAGTCCTGTTATAAAAGGAAAGCATGCTTAATTGTAGGAAACAGATGTAACAAAATCTACACACACACACACACACACACACATACATACACCTGACTTTTGAAGTTTCAAACTATATACATGACTTGTGATTTAGTGTATACTAAATCATTAAGTTGTGATTTTTTCCGTAAATGTTATCTTAAAGTTAAGTCCGAAATTAAAATGATCTAATAAAGAATTAAGTAATTTGAATTTGGACATTTAAATAAAGTGTGGGTCTAATTATATGTGTAGAGAGCGAATCCATTAGGATTGTAATTGACGATAGGTTGATTACATATGGAAACTATAGTTTCATAAATTTCAACAATATTTTCTGTTTTCAACTTTTTTCAAAGATAAAAAGTCCTAGGAGAAAAGGGAACACAAAAATAATAGTTTGACATAAGATGTGAACATTGAATTGTCGTGTGTAAATTTGGTTTGTTATTGAAAATTTGTTAATGAGCATTTCCTCTATTTAGTTTTTGGTTGTGAACTTATCTCTTGATTTCATGGTTGTCAAAGAACTAGAAAATTAGGAGTATTTGACGAACTTACACCATCCATTTTAAGTAAAATATGTTCCAGTAACACACAAGTAATCCAAGAGTGTGTTAGTCTTACAATATATGAGCAACCGCACTTTAGGAAGTTGTCGAGTGTTCAATGAGATTTTATGGGTATCAATATGTCCATCCAACAAGTCGATCAAAATTAGGTTAAAAAGAATGAAAGAACTAATCTTGTTTTACCAAACCATCATAATGGTGGAATATTTCATATTAATAAAATAATATAAAAATATAGACTTTGGAGGGGGCGATTTTGACATAACCTCCCGCTAACAAAATATAGTCAAGCAACTTGACCAGTCAAGAAGATTAGGAGCTAATGAGTTAAAAAGAAAAAAAGGGTTC